GTAAGAAACATGGTAGACCCCAAAAGGTTCCAAAGACAAGAACCGCTCGGAAATCAAAGAAAGGTGCAAGGGAAACCCGAAGAAAAGGGTTTCCAAGGAAAACCCATTAAGAGCAATGGGCCCGGGCTTAATTAGGACCATAACCCCTAAAAGGTAGCCAATCAAATGAAGGTTTTGGGAACGGCCCAAACCTTCAAGGTCCCTGAAGGTGTAAAGAGATCTCTATAAACTATATCATGTCTAGAATACAATGGAACCGAAAAGATGTCGACATCAATGATAATATATTTGCGCACAAGGTAGCAACTGAAATGAATGAGGATCAGGAGCCCACGTCTATACTAGAGTGCACTCAAAGACCTGATTGATTAAAATGGTACAAGACCATAAAACGTGGAGCTAAGAATCATTAAGAAGAAGAATGTGTTTGGTCCAATACAAAGGACACCATTCAATGTAAAGCCAGTGGGACAAATGAGTCTTTGTGATTATGTGAAATAAACATAGTGAAAGCGTGATATATCAGACACGGCTTGTCGCACAAGGATTCACGCAAAGACCAGAAATAGAGGAGATATACTCCCCTGTGGTGGATGCTAAGACATTTAAATTTTTGCTAAGTCTGGCTATATAAAAGAGAAAGATTTGCGGCTAATGGATGTAATGCCTGCATATTTATATAAGTCCACTGGATAATATATGAGATTACCAGAGGGTATTGAGCTCAAAGATAAGAAAGATTCTCGAGAACAGCACTGCATAAGGCTGGACAAATCCTTATATGGACTGAAACAAAGCGGACGTATGTGGTATAACCGGTTAAGCGAATATCTCATCAGAGAAGGCTATAAAAACGATCCGATCAGTCCATGTATTTTTATCAAGAAGTTTGCAAACAAAGGATTTGTAATCATAGCAGTGTATATGAATGATTTAAACCTCTGGGTAATTGGCCAAACAGTTGAGTATATCTAAAGAAAGAATCTCAAATGAAAGACCTAGGCAATAATTAAGTTCTGTTTGGGATTACAACCTGAGTACGTGAATAATGGAATCCTTGTGCATCAAATGGCATACACTGAAAGAGTACTCAAGGAGATTTAATAAGGACCAGGCCCGCCCATTGACCAGGCCCAATGGTGGTGAGAAGCCTCAGATTGGATAGTGATCCACTCAGTCCGGAAATGCCATACTTCAGTGCCATAGGAGTTCTAATGAATTTTGCTAGACACACTAGACCAAACATTTGTTTTGCCGTGAGTCTCCTGTCTAAATTTAGTTCATGATCAACCCAAAGACACTGGAAAGGTTTAAAGGAAGGTATGGTTAAATTTTAAAGTTTATTCTTCCTGCGTTGTTTACTTGGGTTTATTCTATACTGATCTAACCAAAGAAGATCCAGTTTGCTTTGGTTTAGTTTGATTTGCTGATGCAGGTTATTCATAAGATCAGATTATGGCATGGTCAATGAATAGGAACTACGTGTGGCTTGATCCCTTCCAAGGGTACGTAAGCAGCCTTCCTTAAGGCGCATCTACTACTACTACTACTACTACTACTACTACTACTACTACATCAAAGACCATCATATTTGAAGACAACGCAGCCTGTATTGCTCAACTAAAGGATGGCTATATCAAAGGGGATCGAACGAAGCATATTCTGCCTAAGTTCATCTTCACTCATGAATTACAGAAGGACGGTCAGGTCAAAGTTCAACAGATCCGGTCAAGTGAGAATTCAGCCTACCTATTCACCAAATCATTGCCGACTTCAACGTTCCGGAAGCTCATTCATCAGATCGGGATGCGCGGACTTAAGGATCTACAGTGATGCTCAAATCAGGGGGAGTAATGCGTGTTGTACTCTTTTTCCTTCACCATGGTTTTGTCCCACTGGGTTTTCCTGGTAAGGTTTTAATGAGGCAACATTCCCCAGCGCATTATAGAGATCCCGGTTTAGTATCGGGCACGGTTATGTCTTCCAAGGGAGAGTGTTATAAACCATATAGATGGACTCTATAACCGGTCCATGGCCCATTAGGGTTTTACCTTATTCTTTGTATCCTGCTATTATCCTTGTTTATATCCCCTATCCTATTAATGAAAGACACAGTTTACAACAATGTGTTAATTAGTACCGGATATAAAGAATTAACCTGAATTTAAATGTTTAGATTAAACACCAATTAAAACGGATACCGAGTAAAAGACACACTAAAGAGTCATTTTACGTTTTACTCAAACTAATTTTAATTAATCATACAAGAACAAATTCAAGCGAGATCATCCAAACAAATACTATATACCTAAAGGATTGAATACTTAAAAACGTTTTATGAACAAGAACAAGTTACATAAGTAGCCGCGGCTTCTTTATTTTCAACGAAATTTGCAATCTCTACACACAACAGCTATATAGTCTATAATAGATAAGTGGAAGCATCCTCTGCTTTTGGTTAGAACCAAGGCTTTTTACCCGTAGCAGCGGATTGGGTCGTTGCAGCCTTTTGCCGTGGATTGCTTAAGACCAAACCGTCCTCCTTTAGACAAGTATTGCTGGTGATATTCCTCGGCTCTGTAAAATTTCTTAGCCGGTAAGATCTCTGTCACAATCTTCCTGTCAACTTGTTGCTGGTGACGCTCCAGTGACTCGCGTGCTAATTTCTCTTGCTCCGGGTTGTAGAAATATATCCCTGATCGGTATTGGGTTCCCACATCGTTTCCCTGATCAGTTAAAGATGTAACCATTAAGACAGAGTAACAAAGTCGAACATAACGCAGGACGAGCAGATAAACTACCAAAAAAAACAGTGATCTGCATAAGAGCTGGTTAAGTGCTCTCTAAGAAATTACCAAAATACACATGAGGATGATTCAATGAACAAAGACGAGAAGGACAATGGCCAAATTCATATCCACATCAAAGAGAAGATGTATGAGTCTCTCTGTTCAGCTTCAAACATCAAACCTAAATTTATACCTAACAAAACATGAAACGAATCCAAAGTACTTACATTATCCAAACCCTAGATCTCAATCTATTTAGAGCTCAATATTCAAGCAAGCCCTAGAAACCCTAAAAATCTTCATCAATCACCAAAACCCTAGAAATCTCCCTCAATTACCAAAATTAAAAGTTAGAACTCACAAAATCAGACATTCGAAAGAGCAAAAATTTCGTTACCTGGCGATTCAAAGTGGTAGGATCATGCTTAGACCAGAACAAATCAAGAAGCGACTCGTAACTACACTCTTTGGGATCATATTGAACACGAACAATCTCGGCATGATTCGTGGTGCCTGAACAAACATCTCCGTAAGAAGGATTGTGAGTGATCCCTTGAGAATAACCAACCTCGGTTTGAGTCACTCCTGGAACTCTCTGGTACGCTAATTCCACGCTCCAGAAACAACCGGCGCCGAATTGAGCAAACTGGTTTCCCGGCGCCGGAGCGTCTTCGTCGGGACCTTGAGCGGTTGGAGAAAGATTCATGTTGGTTTGTCTGCTGGATCCGATACCGAGCTTGTTAAGTATGTTCATGGAGAAATTTTGTAGAGAAACAGAGAAACAGAGGAGAGTGGTGAAGAGGAAACGTCGGCTGATTCTGCGGAACATTTTGGCCCAAATAATGACGGAATAAAACTCGCGTCTGCGTTTGCGTTTGCGATTGCGTTTTGAATAACGATACGATAATTTCAGAAACCAGTTTTGGTAGACAAACAAGCAGCTCAAATCTTAAAACTAAGATTAATTAGTTTTAAAAAATTTAAGCAAGGTTAAATCATATCAAATGTCACAGAAATAGAAGAAGAAAACAAAGAATCTAAATAAATTGTTGTTTTTGTCACTCTCAAATGAAGAAATGAGTGAGATTCCATTGAACGATTTGACAAAGTCCTTATTTCGATCCAAATGTACCAAAACCATAGGCTCTAAATTCGCAATTAAATCCGGAATTCTTTTTTCTTCAAAGAAACAAAAACTGTGACTAACAACTTACTAAATATGTAACAAAAAAAAACCATCAACGTCATAAAAAAACGTATTTTCTATAGAGTTTTGAAACACACCTATCAAAACCAAAAAAAAAAAATCAAAATGTATAGATCTGCGAGCTGGAACCGAGTGCCAGAAGACTACTCATCCGCACCGCCTAAGGGATTGTGGATGGGCTCAGTGATCGGTCCCCTTGACGAGAACGAACTACCTTCCTACAATAATCCACCAGAGGAGATGGTTAAGAAGGAGAAGTCACGTGCCAAATTCGCCGAAAACGCTATTCACATCATACCTTTTGTTCTCCTTGCATGCGCTCTCGTACTTTGGCTCTTCTCAAATCCAGGTATATACAATTAGTGAGCCAAAAACATGCTTGTGTTGATTAAACCAATACCGGGTTTTAAAGTGAAAGAAAAAAACATGCATATTGTTGACGGGTTTAAGATGATCAAACTGGATCTAATCTTTAAAACAAATAACAAGACTATGAGTTCGAATGTTCTTTTTCCGGTGCGTGTACATATGAAACACCAGCTTTCGGTAGTCCATATCCAAATATTTTATGTAACATGTTTAATTTTGAAATAATAATTTGATATATTTTTGGGGAACTCACAACTTACTGAGAAATAAATAAAATGCAATTCTTGTAGATGTGGATGTTGGGATGAGAGAAGAATCTATTGCAGCTAAGATTGAAGGATTGACGATCGAAGGAGACATCGATAACGACAGTGATGGAACTCAGACCGGTTTCTTGGGTGCAACCTTAGAACTCGGAGATCCTGACAAACCAAACCTCACTGATAGGACCAGAAGAGCTTCAAGGAAATTGATCAAACGTTTTTACTAGTTAACTAAACCATTTTCTTTTTCTTTTTCCCAATGAATGTTGTTTTTAATCAATAAACTTTACCAAAACTATGATTTTTTGTTTTGTTTTTGGTGAATAAAGAAGCAGCTAAATATAAATCCAAATATATCTATTTTTATTGGATCTAATCTGGAGAAAAATGATACATAATCCGATTGGCAAAACTTCTGAATATAAGAGCTATATATTCAAGTAAACTCAACACCATAAAAAGCAATATACCTATACCATGCTTAAATAAACAAACAAAAATGCGATTTCATTTCACATGAATAACGCCATGACCAGTCAAGTCAGTAGCTCCGGTAGTAGCTTGTGGAAGAGGTGGAGGCAAACCGATATCAAGATCCAAACCGTCTTTCTTTGTCATATTAGAAGCTTCATTCGACTGAGATTGAGGCATACCAATCGGTATATGCCTTGGTACAGGTATACCAGAAGGATGAACAAACCTAACCGGTACTTCAGGAGTGCTATAGTACATTGGATGGAACATAAGAGGTGGAAAGTTGTAGTAAGGTGGTACGGTTTGGTAGATTGGCATATACTCCATTGATAAACTCTGAAACCTGTTCGAAATCTCGGTATGGGTCTGACCTTGTACCACCGGTTGTTGAATTCCGGTTATTGGTTGTTTAGGTGGAGTCTTTGATGAAGATGTTGATGCATCTTGAGAATTCATCTCTTTTTCCTTCTGTTCAATGAAAATCAATTAAAAACCCTAGAATAATCAATTGACTTCGATTAATGGGTTACTTGAGGAACAAGGCAAATAAAAAAAACCTGATCTTCGAGAGAGATGTCAAAGAGACTAGCACGTCTTTTTCTCTTGTCGTTAACGTTTAACCTAATAAAATATTTTTGAGCATGACTTGCGACTTGTGTTGGTGTTCTTGTCGTCACGAAACTCTTTGCAATTCCTCTCCAATCTCCTTTTCCGAGTTTATTCAAACCAATTAAGAAATTCCGATGTTCTTCTTCCGTCCATGGCTTCCCTGAATTTGATTTGTTGTTATTAATTTCATGAACTTAAGATTATCAAAATTGAGATTAGAAGATTACCCTTTTTCTTCTCATGAGCAGTTTTACCCTTCTTGGAATGAATCTGACCATCGGAATGATAACCGGTATCATCAACGGCGGCGATAGGATCACCGTTACCGTTACTGTCATCGTTAGCGAGAAGAGCATCAAGGTTTCCCAAACTGAGACTCTTCCTTAACGCCGTCACCTCAGGCGGCCTAATCGGATCAGAAGATATATTAACGCCGAACAGTTTAACACTTCCCTTATTAACGCCGTTAAGACAAGTCCGTGCGTTATGGCCATTGTGGCCACAGTGTGAGCACGTCTTCGCTACCATCACCGTCTCCTTCACCATCTCTCTCTCTCTCTCTGAGTTTGATCTCTCTACGTCACAAGAATTGGAATCCTCAAGATCTCTCTCGCTAATTGTATTTATATCTTAATCTCTGTGTGTAATTATAGATATTATATATATACGATATATATCCGGATATGCGTGAGCTGTTTTTTGTGAATGTCCTTGGTGTTTTTACATTTTTGTTTTTCCTTAAGAGATAAAGCGTTTTCCTTATTTATCTTCTTTTATTTGGAAGTTTTTACCGAAGTTATTATAAGGAAAAAATCCAGCAGAATCTGCGTAAGATCATAATCAACGGTTGAGATTTTCTTAAGATAGGATTCGTAGAGATACAGCCGTTAGATTGTTTTCCAGGTAAATAATGTACTGGATATTAATCCAGGGTATTTAGGTGAGATATTAAAACGTATATTCGATTTTTATTTTTTATTTTATTTCCTAAGTTACCCATATTTTTATCAATATCAATCCTAATCTTAGTGCAGTTGAAATTTGCTTACTTTTATCTTAATCCATATTAGTTAATATCTCATACTTTCTAGCCAATTATTCCTATTTTCTATTTCATCGAAAAGCTTACATTTATATTTGCGATAATTCAGAGTATATACTGTTTAATTTATATATAAAAAAAATTATGATATATTTGGATATTTGGATCCAGTTCAAACGCGTTGAGATCCAATTGGGTACTTGGAAATTTGGATCAATATAGGAATACAAAGTCCTCGTTTCCTTATTTAGGGTGTTAAAAATTTAACTATTTATTTATTGTGGTCAGTGTGTGACACATAATCTTACAAAATCTACGGTGGTAAAAAGTATGGTTAGTAAAAATTAAAATCTAGTAGGTTCTGCGAATTAGCTTTTTTTTTTGTTTCTACTTAGATTTCGATTTCGATATCATTTTCCACATTAAAATAAAAATAAAACACGGTAAAGCTGACAAATTGAGAGCATCCACCTGTTAATAGCAGCATATTTATTTGGTGACAAAACAAAAACACATTAGTTTAGTAGTAGTATTAATACCTTCCAAATGATAAATTTCGTTTGGACTCTTTATATGATGTTGGTATTCCAAGTCCCAAATGTCATATATGAAACTGGTTTACGTACTTTTTGTCACGAGAAGTAAAGTATTTATATGCAAAAGCTCCTACACGGGGGACTTTTTGGTATTCTTTCATAAAAATAGACCGTGCTTTAGTACTAGCATCCATGGCGAATCGAAATTGATGACACTTTTTAGTAGAAGTATTTGGGCCGCAACACTTGAGGACAATTGGGATTTTCTCCACCACCATAACCTACCATTAATTTATGAAGGGAATATTTAAAGCAGAACATTGTTTAGCTACTAATCCAAATTCTCTTCCCGGCAATTGCTACATGTGGAAAAAATCATATACGAAAAATTGAACAGCACTGATATAGTACCTTTGATATCTCAGGGATTGACATTTGCTTAACTCCTCCTAAAGACATATCTTCTTCCACATGCTTTTCTCCTTCCGCCGATTTATCTTTTTGTGGCGGTTTGTCTTCCTCCGCCGGCTTATCTCCTTCCACCGGTTTATCCGGCTTATCCCCTTCTGCCGGTTTATCTTTTTGTGGCGGTTTGTCTCCCTCCACCGGCTTATCTCCTTCTGCCGGTTTATCTTTTTGTGGTGGTTTGTCTTCCTCCGCCGGCTTATCTTTTCCCCGCAATTTGTCCTCCTCGACCAGTTTATCTCCTTTCAGCATATTGTCTTCCTTTGATGGCTTGTCTCTTCTCGGCAACTTGTCTCTTTCTGGCGGCTTATCTTCCTTCAACAGATTATCTCCTCCTGACTGCTTGCCACTTTCTGCCAGCTTGTTAGGCCCTTCAGGCCTAGCTCCTCGCGCATGCAGAGTATCTCTGGAATGCTCTTCTTTGCTAAGTGTCAATCACACACACATAATTTTAACTAACCGCGCGAGCAAATAAAAAATTGTCATATATCTACGAATGTGGTCACATATAATAATGCATGAACAATTTATTTTTCAATGGCCGAAACATTGACAGATATTCTATATTCTATCATTACGATTTACGAACTTGGAACCGGATGGTGACAAAACAATGTCATTAAGATAAACCACTAAAGTATATCGTCTTGCTCTACTCTTTTTTATATTCTACAATGTTTCTCTTTTTGGAATATGACAATGAACGTTCAAACATGTATATATATGTTTTGCATGTTGGAATTAATGAATTTATACATAAAAACAGACATAGAGTATAGCATGTTCATGTCGTATAAATAATCCCTATATTGAACAAAATAAACATCAACCGTAAATATGTCTGTCATGCAACAGAAAATGGCACAATCAAAGCAGTAGAATAGTTAATTAATTACTTTTACTTAAGTAATTACTTGTAGAGCCAGATGAGGAGGGCGATCCCGGATGCTCCGAGGCTACCAGAAGCTAAGAACCCCGTTGCCAAGAAACTCGAAGTGATTACCGCCGGTACGAGAATCGGACTAAGAACCACCAAAACCGGCATCATAACGGTTAGAGTCACGGCAGTACCGGCAAAAGTTAAACCAGTGAGGATCATGAGGGATACGACGGCTATACCGGCATAAAGAGGAGGTTTGCCTTTCGTGCCGAAGAAATGCATTTGGCAGTAAAATAAATTTTGTTAAGTCGAATACTCTGATCTGATTGTGTATTAAAGAGTGGGTCCAGGGGTGAGATCGACGTGTACGCCACATGTCTGAAGCAAATATTGTCCATGCATGCAACTGACACCTTCGTGAGTGAAGTTGCTCTACGTCACGCCAAGGTCACATCTTTTTTGTATATATTAAAGTTGTTGTTTGCCCCGTTCGTTTATTTTTCTTCTTTCGTAATAAACACAGATTTGAAGTTGATAGAAAGGAAAACGTTAGTTACTACGTTCCAAAAATCGTCAATAGGTGAAATCAAAGATATTTGATCATTATTGCAACACACACAGATCGAATCGAAAGATCAAAGACTGCAACTAAATAAAACCACAGAATCAGGAAGCTATAAAAATTACAACTTCAAATTGTTACCGGATAAATTAGTTTGATTTTTGGACGATATGTAACTTAGTGGTTAATATGTAATTGACGAAACGTTTGTATTGATTGAAATTAAAGTGTCAATTTTGGCAAGTTGGTGTGTAAGCTCCTTCGTGGATCCAACAAAATAATTAATATTTTAGCCATGGCCGATGGCGTTGACGAGTGGTCGCTTCTTCGGTCATAATGGTCAGACAATTCAACTTCATTTCTTGGATTCAACATTAAATATATGTACATTTTTTATTTTATATAGAATTAATTGCAATATATATGTAGATTTATTCCATTATATTTTAGTTTCCAACAATTTATTGCAACCATTCTTTGATGGATGATTATTCAATTATTCTTATCGATCGACTATTCTTCTAATGGTTTTAGGTCTGATTAGTGTTAAAAAAAAGTTTAAGAGAAAATGTTAATAAACAACGATTCTATTACTAAGGAATACGAAAAAAAAACTAGTAAAAAAAATCTAACCTTTTTATGTGGATCACCATACGAGAGACGTGCACTACTAATTAGTAGTGTACTACTGTATAAATCCCTATTGCTTGTGAGGATTTCGACCATCAAATAGCAAACAACGTTTCTGTATCTTTAAGAAGAATATCACAACAATGTCATCATCACATTTTGCTATACTTTGCGTCTTCATGATTTTCCTCGTTCCTCTACATGAATGTATGTTTATACAATTTTTTTTTTTTTTTTTTTACATTTTTGCATATAACTCATGATCATCATCATCAATACCCCTCGCAATTATAGTTTTAACTCCTATTTTCTTTTTTGTTATAGTTGGAAACGCACAAGGTTCTGAAGCGGGGCTGCAATTAGATCCATCACTGTGTGTGCGTGTACTATGTGCAAAACACAGAAATCAAAAATGGTGTTTTTGCTGTGGCGGACAACCGAAGACCTGTTTTCTTAATAAACAAGGCTGTACGGCTGTCTGCAAGAGCCCATCTCCTTCAATGGCTTAAGAAACTCGAAGAACCCATGTATACTATTTACTTACTTTTTTTTTCTCTTGATATATGAATATGAATACATATAAAGGAAACAAACACAATTATGCTTATCGTAATTTAACATTAAAACCAAAAAAAGAAAAGAAAAAACAATTATGATTATCGTAAATTTGTTTCGTACGGTCGTACCATTGCCATTTGTTTTTATGGTGTAGTGTAGGCTATCGTGAGAAGTGTGTGCATTTTTGAAATGGTTCTAAAACAGTATTAAATATATTTCCTGAAATCGTTTGCATGTGATGAAAGGTGTGTTTGATCGAATTTATATTTTAAGTCCTTTGTTATTGAAAGAAAAAACATATCTATTAAATTTTAAAATTACTGGAAATGAATAATACTTTCTGCTTTTATTTGTATCCGTTGTAATATCATTCCATTTAGGTGATATGACTATATTGACAACGAACGAATTTAATTTTTTTTGTAATACTTGAAAACACAATGAATGGAATTCTACAATGAATAGTTCTAACTGCACTATAGTTTAAAGTCTTTAAGACAATTAGATCACAACGAATAGTTTTACATGCACTATACCGGTGGTGATTTCCGGTAATCTGCAATAAAGAATTTTCTAGAAATCAAATCCTAAAATTGATGTAGAAACACTAAACTCTAAGTCAGTCACTTCGTTACTTCTTTATTCAAAATTTATATTTACAGTATGTCATATATAAATCTATTAGAATTTTGAAATTGGCATAACTATAACAAAATCGTGATAGGTTTTCCGAATACTTTAAACTCCTTAAATTTTTAATACATCTCAATCAAACAACTCCACTTATTACTAGTGCCGGCCCTTAGCATAAGCAAGGGAAACAAGGGAAACGGCTGCTTAGGGTCTCCACTTAAAATTGTATATTGTCTCATATTTTTGTAAGTAAATGTTTGTCTATTTTGTATGATATTTTTTAAGTTTTTTCTTACATGTTAAATTAGCCATGTAATTTTCGAAGGGATCATGCGAGTCCAATGTTATTTGTTTCTTTACAGAAGTACATGTAGATGTATGAAGTTGTTTAAACAAAAAAAACTTACAAAATTTGTAGTGTAATCATTAAAACATATACATATATATAGTTTTAGCGATCAAATATCTATAGTTTCATCTCTTAATCATTCATGACAATTAAATTATACAACTAAATTTGAAAAAAATAGTATGATTATTTTCTAGAAATTTTTTTAAAGTATATTTTAGTTGACAAATTTTGTTTCCGCTTAAGGCACTCAAAATGTTTTGACCGACACTGCTTATTACGTTAAAATCATGGTGTATAGACTAAAACTTTAAAACTCTCTGCATTTTTAATATTCTAAAAGAAGCCATCACGATAACATGATAGGTAATTTTAAGTGATAAAAGTCCACGTAGAGGAACAAGACAAAAGGACAAAAGAAAGAAAAAGGACGAAATCTAAAGAGAAAGAAAATAAGTGAGAAGTCCAAGAAAAGGTAGTATGATCTTTCTCGGTCCGATCCTCGAAACTCCCTCGAAGGCTCGAACCCTCTCTTTATTTTTTACCACTATAAAAGAAGGTCCGATTCCTCGTCACTCTTATTCCCACTTCCACACATACACATATACAACAGATCAATAAGAGAGTCAATCAAGTTAACTTGGAGTGAAGATGGCAACTAAACAAGAAGCTTTAGCTATCGAATTCATAAGCCAACACCTTCTCACAGACTTTGCTTCCATGGAAACTGACCCATCTCTTTTTACCAATCAAGTTCACAACTTTCACTCAGAAACAAGCCCTAGAACCATCAGCAACCAATCCCCTAAACCGAACTCGACTCTTAACCAGCGTAAACCGCCCTTACCGAATCTACCCGTCCCAAGAATGGTCTCAACAAAGACAGAGAAAGAGGAGGAGGAAGAGAGGCACTACAGGGGAGTGAGACGAAGACCGTGGGGAAAATACGCGGCGGAGATTAGAGATCCGAACAAAAAGGGTTCTAGGATTTGGCTTGGAACTTACGACACAGCCGTGGAAGCTGCAAGAGCTTATGACCAAGCAGCGTTTCAATTGCGTGGAAGAAAAGCAATCTTGAATTTCCCTCTCGATATTAGGGCAACGTCCGAAACTTGTTTTGAGGAAGGGGCCGTCGGATTAGGGCAACGAAAGCGGGTTAAGAGTTCTCCGCCAGAAGAGGAGAAGGAGAAGGTTAGGGTTAAAGTGGAGGAAGAAGAGAGCAATACGTCGGAGACGACGGAGGCTGAGGTTGAGGCGGTACCATTGACGCCGTCAAGTTGGATGGGGTTTTGGGATGTAGGAGCAGGAGATGGGATCTTCAGTATTCCTCCGTTATCTCCGACGTCTCCCAACTTCTCCGTTATCTCCGTCACTTGAACTTCGGAAAAGTCAACGGGCGATGACGTTTTCACTTGCGTCACTCTCATGATTTCATTTATTCTTGTATAATATAAAGATAGCGGTAGTGTGCAAATATCAAATAAGTAGTTTAATTAGTACCAATCATTTTATTCATTAATTTTCTTAGAAGAATATTTGGATGTTGAAAATATGAACTGAATTTGGTATTCGTTGATGTTATAAATTTATTGATTGTATAAACATTCATAGTCATCAGTTTCAGTTTCGTAACTCGTAAGTCATATCCCCTAAATAGTCAAAGATTATAAAATTGAACAAGTAACTCGGAGCTATAAAAAATATAGTGTGCAAGGAAAAGACAATAATTAGTTAAAAATACATTACAAATCTAAACGAACAGCTAGATTTTCAAAATTTCAATAGTAGAACACACCAATCAAATGGATAATGTCTAAGATTATCTACAAAGCATCCATGTAAATAATTAATATTATCTTGCATGCTATTAAAAATTTAGAAGATTGATTAATATTATTATGCGAGTAGGAGTATAATTGTCAAGCAACTGAGCAAGAGGTTAAGGTTTGGTTATATATGTGGAGCCCTATACGAAGTTAAGTAGAAAGAAAGAAATATCAAGTTGCTTCTAATCATATCCTAGCAAGACAACCCTACAAGAAAAGCAATTTGATGAATTTGTCTCTCCTTTTTAATTTGGGTGAAAGTTATTATACATAATATCTTATCTTTTTACTCGAATGTGAAAATCCAAAATATCTTTTGATATTTAAGAGCTTAACTAGTGAGTCATTTACTACTACGAAAATCACATATTCAATCTTATCATAAAAAACTTTCAAGAGAAAATTAAAAAAAAAACTTTTAAGAGATTGGCTTTTAAGGACTAAGTTACGATTGTAGTTCAAGTCTTTTTGGTTTTGGTTTTGGTTTGTGTTTATGTTTTACATTTAAAATTTCAAATGAACCTACGACCTTAACCAACTCAATCAAAATTCTAGTTAAGACAAATAATCACCATTAAAAAACACCTTTTTGTTAAGACAAATAACTTAGGATTCGAACCGTGGGTAGCTCAAGGGATTAAACTCTAGAGGAATCAAATGGATGTTAGTGAAATTTGTCAGCATCATAGACAAGATCAAGTTGGCACAACTTGAAGGGTCCTGACAAAATATCTTAAGTTGTCTCCATAAATGTTTAATGGATAAGACTTGGACCCACAGAGTTAAACCAGAGAGACACAGAGAGAGACTTTTGACACCTCACCCATTGCTGCGTTAACACATGTTTAGGATTCCTTTCTTTATATAGCCAACAATATGATCAACACTTTTCTTCAAACACCACTTGCAGATTTTTTTCTTCTCCTGTCTTGTCTGCAATAGAAAAGTAAGATAAATATGGCGACTTTTGAGGAAAGCTCTGATCTGGATGTTATACAGAAACATCTGTTTGAAGACTTGATGATCCCTGATGGTTTTATTGAAGATTTTGTCTTTGATGATAGTGCTTTTGTCTCAGTACTCTGGTCTTTAGAACCGTTTAACCCAGTTCCTAAACTGGAACCTAGTTCACCTGTTCCAGATTCCTATGTCCAAGAGTTTCTTCAAATGGAAGCAGAATCATCATCATCATCAACAACAACATCACCTGAGGTTGAGACTGTCTCAAACCGAAAAAAAACAAAGAGGTTTGAAGAGACGAGACATTACAGAGGTGTGAGAAGGAGGCCATGGGGAAAATTTGCAGCAGAGATTCGAGATCCCGCGAAGAAAGGATCCAGGATCTGGTTAGGCACTTTCGAGAGTGATATTGATGCTGCAAGAGCTTATGACTATGCAGCTTTTAAGCTCAGGGGAAGAAAAGCTGTCCTCAATTTTCCTTTGGATGCCGGAAAGTATGATGCTCCGGTCAATTCATGCCGAAAAAGGAGGAGAAGCGATGTACTGCAGCCTCAAGGAACAACAACGAGTACTTCATCATCATCATCAAACTAATGGGAATAGTGATGTTTAATTAGTATATATAGGTTAATATCTTAAGTATGTGAAGCATGTATAGAGCCAAGAAAATGTTAGATTAGTGTACTGAAAAAAACTCTTCCAAATTATGTACTAAAGAGTTCCTGTAACAATGGAACTTCTGTGTTTTCTCATGTCTTAAAGAGCTTAAGGTTCTAGAAACAAAGTTCTTGTTCAAGATTCGTTTTTTTCAGAGATTAAACATCCTGGGAAGGCAAGAGGACCTAAGTCTAGCGACTACATTTATTTATTAGTCTAGTTCTGTGATACTTAATCGAATTTCTACCTGAAATACCTTAACATAAGCCTTAAAGTTTCTCCAATGATACAAACAGTATCGTACAGTGGCTTCAGTATTCAATATCACTGAGGTATTAATTAGTTCACATGTCCAGAAAGCGTGAATCAATGAATTGAGTAGACGAACAAGTTGTAAGAGGGACCAAGTTTAAAGAATATGGCAGCCAGAATTTTGTCTCATGGTTGGGTACAAGTCAGCATTCATTTTTTAAATATGACAAGGAAATGGATGGACCACACGCAACAGCTAAAGACAGGAGAGATGCACAAGTTGCAAAATGGAAAAGTAAACAGAGGAAGATATGTATTAACATCTCAATCTCATCGTTGAGATGGATGTTGAGTATTATTATTATTAGGAATAACTAAACCAAAGAATTCTTATAACCAATGAAATACTTCATGGTTTTATGATAAATATATCTTCTATGCATATATGTCTAGTATATATTTGGAACAGTTGATGAATATCAACTGACCGTTTCTTAGATAGAAGAGATCTTCATGTTATCGATCTTTTCTTGAGTTTCCATGTCGATCACATTCTGCAATGCTCCTTCACCAGTCAAGAAACTCGGTTGATTTGTCGATGCAAGGAGTCTAGCCCACATCCTATCAGTTAACTTCACCGTATTTGTCATTTCAGTCACGCGCTGCAGAAGTAAAAAAATCATGGGATTAACTTTAACCACAAAGGTTTAGGACTCAATGATTAAGTTAGTCTAAGAATGATTAGAGAAGTAAAAGAGAAAAGCTTACAGAAATTGGGATGTAAGCATGTCTGCTATTAACTGGTCCTACAGTGAAACCTGAATACCCAGCCATTGCTCCATGAACTGCACTTTGGGCAAGAAGAGTGCAATAGACATTGTCTGATGCGTTACTCGGTATTGCTCTTATCATATACGTTGGGTCTGTTCAACAAGTAAATATGTCAATGAAATGCACAGAAGAGTGTTAACAAGATAGAGACAGTGAGTCTGAAGATATACCTATGTACTTCATATTTATCATCATTTTCCGAACATTTGTAAAGTGATCCTGCAGCATTGTGGTCACAAAACTCATCTTGTGTGGTTGAGGAAAAACATCTAGAAACCAGTTTCTTAGCTTTCGAGTTTCGACCAAATACCTTTATCTGTTGAGTCAACCATAGACCAACATCAAGCAAGAGTCTATTTCCTGAGGCGTCTTTGGTTCCAGATACATGCATGCTTTGAGAAACATAATCCTGTCCAGCTCCTTCGGCTATCACAATAACCATGTGCCTGTTCTCTTTGAGTCGTTGTTCAATAAACTCAAAGAGCCCACCCTTTCCTTCAAGAAAAAATGGAGACTCTGGAATCAAGCAACAATCCTGTCGCATTTCAAAGCTGCTATTGTTATATACCACAATAAAGAAATTTTAAAGTGACAACTTAACAATCAAAATAATCTATTACCACATCACGGTTCGCTAAAGTTGCAATCATGGCAATAAAACCTACAGAATTTGTACCAAAAGTTAAATTCATATTCACAAAAAAAAATGTAATCCACATATGGCACAGAATATTTACCACTGTATCTGCCCATGAGTTTAACGATACCAACTCCATTTTCCACGCTCTCGACCTCTACATGTGCAGCATTAATAGCTCGTTGTGCTTCCTCAACCGCGGTATCAAAGCCAAATGATTTGTCAATCACCTAGAAAAATGGGTGAAGAAGATGTATAAGAAACTCCACATGAGAGAAGAGTAGACCTTAAGTTGAAAATTATCAATGCGTATTTACAGCAATATCATTATCAATTGTCTTGGGAATGCCAGAAACCGCCACTTGAAGACCACGCCTCTCAACTTCCTTCACAGAATATGAAGCAAGTATCAGTAGAATTACTTAATGCTACATTCAACATTCAGTAATATGTGATAATGAATAACCTGGTATATTTTCTCTGCACCCTTTTGCGTCCCATCACCTCCAATAATATACACCTGAAATACACATTGACAAGATATTAGTATGGCTCATTTCAGTACAAGCTAATCTACATAAAAATCAAGAAACGTGGACAAAATGGATATCAGTTATGTTAGCAACCTGGTTTATTCCTCTATCTTGAATGTTATCAACAATCTTCACTGTATCATGTCCTCCTCTTGAGGTTTGAAGAAACGTGCCACCGCGTTTATGAATATCATTAACTACTTTAGGAGTCAGGGTCATAGTGTTTTTGGAGTAAAAGCCTCTATATCCTCCCTGAATACCAAGAATGTTATTGACACCATACATATTGTTCAATCCACATACAATTTCCCGTATAACAGTATTGATTCCTGGGCACAAGCCCCCGCAAGTGACTATGCAAGCTTTTACTTCATCTGATCTGAAGTACACCTATATAGCCAAAACTTAATGGGTTTCAGTTGCGAAGATTCTCACAAAAGTTTAACACTTTAAAGAAGAAATCGTACCCTTTCTCGAGGCCCTGCTCGCCTAAAGTGTACTCCTCGCTTACTTCCCTTCTGGACTACAATCTGAATATGAAGGTACTTGAGCAAGCAAAACATCCGCAAATCGAAAAATAAAAGCTTAGAAGAAAACATCCAGCTTACATTTTGTGCAACCACATCTTCGGAACTGACAAAGGTTCGCCTACAAAAACCGTATGGACAACACATTACAACCCTCAAAGGTATTTCTGAGTTTACTGACTTTGCCATGTAAAATTTTTGAGCTTACTTAACAATGGCATATGCTTGGCTTTCTTTCAATGGATTTGGATACGACTGTGATATCAGAAGCAAAACATGAATTAGGGAACTAATAGAAAAGTTATAACCTTTAAATGGAAAAACTCATAACTTGACAAAGATATTAACACATTACTAACTAGAGACCAATCAAATCGTTATGTTGCAATTATAAATCTTCATTACAGAAATTGATAAGCTATGAGACAGAGACAGGGAAGAATCAAATTACCGGTAAATCGGGGAGAAATTTGGTCAAGTGAGGGACGTCTTCTAGCACAAACCCATCGTCTTCCTCTGGTTTGAATCCATCAGAGCACTGAGCTCTGATGAGTCGTTTCTGTTGCAAGATTCGAGGCAACACTGAAACTTTCTTCAATTTCAAAGCAGGAAGAGGGAAGTCTCGACGATGAAGGACGTTGGAAGAAGGGATAAGTGAGGAAAGACTGGGTTTTGTTGACCCAAGTAACGAAATCGAAGCTTCCATTGTTATGGAGAACAAATCCGAATTTGTGGGATTGAAAGATTTTTAGAATAATCTCTGTGGATTTCACAGCAGAGAGAGATCACCAAAACGAAGGAGTCTCTCACACCAAATCATCAGAGAGCCTAGGCTTGTTCAATCCGGGTTAAACCGATCCATTCCGATTCGCATATCAAACCGAACCGAAGAAAGAAGAATAAACCGAATATTATACCATGCCGTTCGTGATAAATGTTATAACACTCCATGCCGTTTTTTATAAATCTGTCTTTTTTTTCCAGTGTTTTTAGTTCGGTAGTTCTTGTTGAAGATTTTCCCGGGAAAATATATCGCCTTTACCGGAATCCCCTGTTTCAGATGAGCTCCTCTGTCGGAATCTCGTTTCCTCTAGCCGTTAAACTTCCTGAAGTTCCATCATCTGTGAGAATCTTTATCTCTTTCTCTTTTATCCCTCTTAATGTAAATCACGTAGCTTTTTTATTCATGACGAAATCATGTTTTCCAGAGAGGAAGCTCAACAGTTTTTCTACCAGCTCAGATTAAGAATAAGACTCGAGAAATCTCCATTTCTTCGAATTCTCCATCATCTTTAACAGTAAACGATGGGAATTGTTGTTATTCAGAGACATCACTCATTGAGCTTATACGAGAGTCTGCAGATGAAAGGTGTTTGAAGAAAGCGAAATCGATTCATGGATTTGTTATTAAATTTCAGCTTATTGAGAAGTCCTTGACGGTAATGTTGAATCAGTTGGTTATTGCCTACTCAAAATGCTCAGACTTTGGTTCTGCTCGTCAGGTGTTCGACGAAATTCCCCAAAAGAGTGTTTTTTCGTGGACTGTTTTAATGGTTGGCGCTACGGAGAACGGGTTTTACCGTGATGGCATTGATTATTTTGTTGAGATACTTGGCTGCGATATCGTCCCTGATGAGTACGCTCTTTCTGCTGCGATACAGGCATGTATTGGTGTGGATAGTATTGTTGTGGGTGAAATGGTTCATGCTCAAGTTATAACTCGGGGATTTTCGTCTCGTACGTTTGTTAATACGTCTTTGCTTGGCATGTATGCTAAGTTGGGGAGGATTGGGGATTCCTGTAAGGTGTTTAATTCCTTGGAAAATCGTAACCAAGTTTCATGGAATGCAATGATATCAGGGTTTGTGTCAAACGGTCTTTATGCAGAAGCATACAATAGTTTCTTGAGAATGCTGGGCGAGGAAATTAGACCGAACGTAGCGTGTTTTATTAGCGTCTCGAAAGCTATTGGACAGTTGGGAGATGTTGAGAAAGGCAGATACATTAATCGTATTGCTTTCGAAATTGGAATGCAGTCAAATATCCACGTGGGAACAGCTTTGATTGATATGTTTGCAAAATGTGGATGTGTCACTGAATCATGGTCAGTTTTTGTGTCGAATTTCTCTGGATGCGGAGTGAATTTACCGTGGAACGCTATGATATCCGGTTTTACGATTTCAGGGCATGGGGAAGAAGCAATGTTGTTGTTCCTTAGGATGTGTCAGAACAATATCAAGCGAGATGTATACACATACTGCAGTACATTGAATTCAATTGCTGACATGAGGTCTTTAGAATATGTAAAGCAGCTACACGGGATGATCTGGAAAAGTGGATCGATTGGTGTGAGTCTCTGCAATGCATTAATGGATGCATATGCCAAATGTGGGGAACTTGACGCGATGAGGAAGCTTTTTGACACTTGGGAGGAATCAAACCAGATTTCATGGACAACGCTTGTGACAGCTTATTCTCAGTCTTCTGAATGGGAGGATGCACTAAGCGTCTTCTCTCAGATGAGAGAAATGGGATTTCAACCGAACCAAGTCACATTTTCCGGTGTACTTGCGTCATGTGCTAGCCTCTGTTCTCTCGAGTATGGGCAGCAAGTTCACAGCTTGACATGCAAAACTGGCTTTGCTAGGGACAAATGTGTAGAGAGTGTTCTTATCGATATGTATGCGAAATGTGGTAGTGTAAGAGATGCCATCAAGGTTTTTGAATCTTTGAAAGACCCTGATGTCATTTCATGGACCGCCATGATATCTGGATATGCCCAACACGGTATGGCGAAGGATGCCTTAGAGCTCTTCCGAAAAATGGAGCTTGTACTTCCAAACCCCAATTCAGCTACATTTCTATGCCTTCTGTTTGCTTGCAGCCACGGGGGACTAGTGGATGAAGGCTTGAGGTATTTTCATTTAATGGAGGAAAGATATGGGCTGGTCCCGGAAATTGAACATTATGCTTGTGTGGTTGATATCCTTGGCCGTGTCGGCCGGCTAACGGAAGCATGGAAGTTTATAATGAAGATGCCGATAGAACCTGATGAGAAAGTCTGGTCGACATTGCTTGGAGCATGTAGGGTTCATGGGAACATTCAGTTGGCAAAGATTGCTGCTCAAAAGGTTCTCTCTTATAATCCGGATGATTTTGCTGCTCTTGTTCTCTTGTCAAATACATATAGAGAAGCTGGAAATATTGAAGGTGGATTGAATGTAAGAAATATGATGAAATCTCAAGCTATGAGAAAAGAAACTGGAATGAGCTGGATTTGTATCGGAGGTAAAATCCACAAGTTTTGCTCCGGGGATCAATACCATCCCCAGAAGGATGATATATACAAAACACTGAATGTATTGATGGAGAAAGTGCAGGGTAAAAAGTGTTGAATCTGTGGTTATAACATACACCACAAGAGTAGTTCATGATACTTTGCTTAAAACTGCAAAGATCTCCTTCAAGAGCAAGAATGAGAGAGAGATTTATGGAGATTTCAAATATATAACTCAAGAATCATATATCTTGCTGAACAGACCGAGCAAGGCTATAAGATACAACTTCAACGACAATTTACATTCACGAAGATTATGTTCTATGATTACTAGAGGCCTTTCAAAGTTCTTCGAGTCTCTTGTTGGCTCTTCTCTCAGGTATTCTCCAAATCACTATTCTGGAAGTCCTGCCTAAGTAAAACTTCGATCCATCTTCAGTTACTTTTGTAGATAATCAGACTAACTACTTCTCTGTAAACATCCACAAGCTAGAACTTGTTATATGTATTGTGTCATCCTATGAAGACTCTCCCGTGTATTATCCGCCTCACGCATTTTACCAATCTTGCAAAAAAGGTTTCTGATTGTTAGAAAGATTCGAACTTTCTCTTGCTATATCTGTTCCACAAATTAGTCAAGTTTGCTAATACATCATTTCCTGATCTCTTCAAGTTTCCTCAATACTTGCTTGAAGCTTGGCCTAAGAGAAGGAGATGGAGAGCAACAAGATACTGCAAGCTGAAAGTACTCGAGAACACATTCTTCGGTCACACCATTTCCATCTTTATCTCAGGATGGTACAAATCCGACAACCTATTATGATCAAGAATAGAACCCTTTGGATTCTTGTTTATTGGCTCTTTACCATAGACTAACTCAAGCATGATCACACCAAAACTATACACATCACTCTCCTTGCTTACTTCCTTCATCTTGATCAACTCAGGCGCTTTGTATCCCTCTGCAGCAGAAGCTTCTAGAACCTCTTGCCCAGCCGGGAGGTTCAAGAGCAAATGCAAGCCGAAATCAGAGACTCTAGGCCTAAAACTCTTGTCTAGAAGAACGTTCTTCGACTTCAGATTTCCGTGAACAATCGGTTTCTGCATTCCCGTGTGGAGATGATCAAGAGCTTTTGCTATTCCAATGGTGATACTCAAAATATTGCTCCATTTGTGTGCGTCAACATCTCCACCTGCCAAAACTATGCTCTGTTTATAAGACATCGTATTGAATATTGATTAGAAAAATTAATACTGATGTTGATGCTCTAAAGATTTAAAGGAACGAGAGATCTATAAAGATTTTGTCTTATGTAGTGAGCAAAAGAAGTGGGAAGTGACAAAAAAAAGTAGTTACCGACAAAAGATATATCAATAATGGTGATCATAGAGCAAAAAAAAACAAAAATAGTTTATTTTTTGTCAGAGAAAAAAACAATTACATGTTACGATTTACGAAAATGTAAAAGATAGAAGATAAGACAATTTCTTATGGATCGACTATAGTTACCAATATGATTCCATCTGACGAATAAAATTTCGATATACATTTTCGAATACACTATGCATTAAGAAAACTATATAGTATTAGTTTTGTTAGATGCGTTAAAAACTTTTTACCATTTTCCCGGGAAAACGAGAACTCAAGACTCTGTTTTTTTCCCAGAAAACAAGAATCAACGAATCAAGACAGCTAAAAAGCTAATCTGTTTCTGTCCAGAAATTAAAAAAGTTTGTTCCTTTAATCTTTTCCAGCTTTCCGGAGAAAAAAAGAAAACAGAGGCTTACATTTGATGAACTCAGAAAGATTCCCGGAACCAAAGAAAGGATGAATCATAAGCTTCTCTCCTCTGTTCCCAACATAAAACCCTAACAGAGGAACCAAATTATCATGTCGAACAAATCCAAGCGACTCAATGACGCCATTAAACTCCTTAGCATCCGATTTCACTGCACACAAAGGTCGAAGGAATCTAAGAACCCTAACTTTCCCACTTCTCTGCAACGTCGCTTTGTATAATGTACCGTAGCTTGATTTTCCGATGACTTCTCCGGGAGCATCAAGGATATCACAGATGGTTAGATCGTCTCCACCGTTAAAGATTACAAGCTCCTCCTCTGTTTCGGATCCGGAAAAATCTTCTTTCTCATCATAAGGAGATTCGACGTTGTATTGAGCTTCATTGGTCTCTGTTTTTCTTCTTCTGCAGAAGATGAAGATTATGATGATAGCGATTATGATCAAGAATGTTGTTGGCAGAGATACCGCAAGTATCAGTTTTACCAAATGGGATTTTCTCATCTCATGGAAATGTTTTCGGTTTTTGGTATTTGTGGGGAAGGAAATTGGAAATTGGAATTCTTAGGTATGAGAATACAAATGGAAAAGTATGAATGAATAATTGAAACTTTTTTTGTTCACAGTAGTGATACAGAGAGATATGTAGATGGAGATGAAGTAAATGATGATATAGAGAGATCTGAAACATGGTTTTAGTTGTATCAATGTGGACTTATGAGTAGTTTTTGTTCGCTATTATTGAAAATGTGCTTTTATTCTCCTACCAAGTTCTCAACCAAATTGTATAAGTTTATGACCTACTCGTATAAACCAAAATTGTATAGGTCAATTTATTGGAACGACTATGTCGTATTAGAGAATTAGATTTTGGCATTGTACTTTGAAAACGTATTGAAACTTTGTTTCTGATTTTGGTACGAAATCACCGCCCAAAAATTGTTAGTTATTTAATATGCTAATCAAATCTTATAAAGGATGTATTTTTCTTGTGAAAACTACCTAATTACTTATTACTAGACATTAGCTTATAACTTTGTAGATCTTGATTAATAGTATGACAAAATTATACTCCCACGTCGAATGGTCCTTAATTTGATAGCCCCACCAATCACCATACGTATCAAATAAGATGGTGGGGGGACCTTCATGTCACTCGCCTTTCAACAACCACAACTCAATTGCAACTTTGGTTTACTAACCATTTTGTGAGATTTTTTTTACTACTTCGTTGTCTATTTTTCTATTTTTATTGCATAATTTCCATTCTGATATTTGATCATTGCATATTAGGATAAAGTTCTTTTTCCCTATGTGCATGTGTGTGTGTAAACTAAACGACATATAGAATATACATTAATTATTGCAATGATTCTCTTACATAGTTACATATATTGTTTGTTGTTATAACTTATAATGTAATTCTTACTTCTATGTTTTAACCATCGTTTGGTACTTTGGTTTATACATAATTGACGTATAGTTCAAACTTATTAACGTATAATTTGTTTAAACTTTGTTAAAGTTTACTCCCACTATTTCAACTTCTTCACAGGTTGCACCAATTGAGACTTCTTCCATGGTTGGTACTACGCCAGCTATCAATACCCTAGCTACTCCTACCCAACCAGGTTCATTGGCAAATGAATTTGTGCCAGGGAATGTTTATGGGAGCAATATGTTTGCCTCCTTAGACTCGGGAGTTACTACAGGTTTTGAGATGGATGACTTCTCTCTAAAAACCCGAGGTGGTAGATCAATCAAACCTACTAAAAAAATTCAAGAGATGCAATGGACTATGGTTGGAGGACGTGGTAAACGTGGTCGTGGTGGCCGCGGTGGTCACGGTTAATCGAACTATTTCCTTGTTCTCTCTTCTCTAATCTAGAATCTACTGAATTGTATGTCTTCTCTTTTAATTACTTTCAAAAACTATATGACCTCAAAGTCATATCCTTGTAATACTTTTATGTTTTTTTAATTTGAATACCCTTTAACAAAAAAAAAAAACTTTGTTAAAGTTTCTTCATTTGTAACCAATATTATATGAAAACAGCAAAAAATAAGACTATCATTCCAGTAGATAAATGATAGAATGTGTGAACAATGCTCAAATGTTATCTTTATAAATTCAGTATTCGTCTGGCTATTTACTATTCTATAATCATATTTATGTCTTTCATAGCTAATATATATAGAACCCACACCATTTAATGGCCTAGGTGTCAGATCTCACGTATATACTAACTATCCTAGTTATTAACAATTATATATATTCAACAAAATCCAACTTGACAAAACATAACATTTTTATTTCTTAGACTTTTATTTCACTATAGGCCAACTTTTACGATCCTATCTCATGTTTGATCAAATCATACACAACTAAAAAAAAAAAAACCGTAGTTTTCAAATTCAAATTGGTTTTTGGATTAATTGGAATTGGATTCATATATGTTTTTTGTTTGCATTGATATGTTGCATTATGTATATTTACAAGAAAATACGATACAACAATAAATCAACACTATTATTTTTTCCTTGCAAATGTGCAGCCAAAACCTATAATACAATCAAACAAATAAGGTAAAAAAATTTACACACAAAAACTCGAGTATTTCATCAACGTTTATCTACTCGTGTGTGGGCAAGAATGGTATGACAAAAAAAAAAAACACAACAATGCATGTTAACTGATGAATTTAGCCCTACAAATTAAAATTTAAAAAACCTTGAACCTTTAATTAATTTATTTAATTAGTGATCTCCACTCCTTAATTGCAGAAAGAAGAGAATGATTAGGAAGAAGAGAATGATTAGGGAAGGGCAAATCCGTCATTGGAGATTTATGATTCTTCTGAAGCCATTCCTTAATCGCTCTCTTCTCATACGTGTATCCATCCGAAGCAACACATGGATTCTCCATCACATCCTAATTTCAACAATGAAACCATAAACCAAATCAAACACATAAATAACAAAACCTGACATAAAATGTAAGATTTTCTTATCATTCACTACCTTTGTTATTGGACAGTAGAAATGGGTCGGAGCGTTATGGTGATGATCAATTAGGTTATCAGCAAACATGTTTCTTGCGTTAGACGCAACTTCCTTTAACCGTTCAAGAACCGGCAAAATTTCTTTCCCTAAATCAGGACGATCACGCTTTCTCATCTCCGCACATCTAAGCCCTATCATAACCATCTCTTTCGCTTCCTTAACCGGCCAATCTCCAGCAGTTTTATCCAAGATCTCTGTAAATTTCCCGGTTTGATCTCTTAAAGCTTTCTCTATCGTATGAGCCAATCCCATGGCGGATCTAGCTGTGACTAGCTGAAGAAGTATGATTCCAAACGCGTAAATATCAGATTCCGGGGTTACTACTCCGGTTCTTTGGTATTCAGGATCTATGTAGAAGAATGTTCCAACTGGACCGGTTTCGTTGAAAACCGTTGAGGCATGAGAAGGATCAAGATTAACCATTTTGGATAGGCCTACGTCTCCGATTTTGCTCACATTGTTCCGGTCTAGGAGGATATTGGCTGGTTTAAGATCTCGGTGAACGATTGGTCTTGGTTCGTTTGTGTGGAGAAAGTAGAGAGCTGAAGCAATCTCCCAAGCGATTCGGAACCGCTCGAACCACCGTAACGGCGGTGGTTGCGGTGTGTCAACGTTTGGTCGGCGTTTCATGAGTCTTTCCTCGAGGCTTCCGTTGTGCATATACTCGTAGACTAAGCTGCCGCGTTCAGGACACGCGCCTAGGAGAAGAAGCAAGTGTGGGTGACGAATTTTGCTAAGAATCTCAAGCTGAAGAATTATCAACGAAAATGGCATCGTTATAGCAGAATAGCAATTTTGCTTGGAGGTTAAAAAGTGAAGAATGTTTATTTTTACCTCTTGGTGAAACTGTTTAGTTAAGCTACTTTTGTCTGAATGAAGAACCTTGACCGCTACTGTCGTGTGGTGCAAGTTACACCGATATACGCTTCCGTAACCGCCCACTCCGATCTTAAAGTCATCGGAGAAGGATGACGTCGCCTCGACGATCTCTTCCCACTCAAATTTCATGTATTGTTGGCGTTGAAGCGGTCCGCCTTCGAGTGCATCCTCTAGCCTCTGCTTCTCTTTTCTAACCTCTTCCGCTCTTGCTTCCGCCTCAAGTCTCTCTTCGGTTTCTCTCTCAATGCATTCTTTCACGAGCTCAGCTTCGTTTTCGGCCTCCTCTTGTCTCTCCTTTTCCATTTCTACCACTTCACCAGCTTCTTCTTCTCTTATCGTTAAGTTCTTGAGCCTCATAGCTTCCTCTGATCGCCGCTGGTTCAGATCTTGCATCTGTTAGAAAGAAAAACAGAGGATATACAAATTATATGCGATATATAAAAAAAGGCCCAAATATTGTAGCAAACAATGAACCTTTTTAGAAGCATCGATGACTTCGCTTTGAGCAACTGCATACATTCCTTTAATGTGACGGAGTTCAATCTTCAGCTTCTCTAACTCAAAGTCTTTATTGGCCTGCTTGTTATAAATCCCACATTAGTCAAACATAATGCATTACTTCACTCATTGTCAATTGGTTTTGAGACGAAAATAAACCTGGCTACTAGATGAAGTAGGGTCACTGTAGGTACTTGAGCTTGAAGCCTCTTCCACCTGAGAGCTTCTCCAGCTGCTGATATCGCTTCCTCCATACCCAATTCCCGAGCTGCTTGTTCGGTAAAAGCCCTTCTGGTTCAGTAACTTTGATTCATCCACGTCTAGAGACCCGGCTCTGTTATGATGATGATGATGCTGATCATTGTTCTGTTTTCCAATGTTCGTTCCAACCTTCTGGTTGACGGTTGAAAGTGCTTGGACTCTTTGGAAGAGTAAAGGTGTTGATGAGAACTGATGACTCGATGTCGAACTTACTGATCCTAAAATGTTAAAAACCAATCAAATCAAACAGATAAAACAGGTTTTAGTTTATGTCCTACAGAGTTAGTTTTTACCTGAATGACTATCTGAAGAGAACCGGCTTTCGCTTCTATCGTCTGCAATGCTCGTTTCGGTGTCCATATCGGATTTACGAACATTGAGAAGCTTTCCTTTAGAGATAACGTGAATTGTGCAAAATCTTGGTGTAGCATCTGAAATTCTTGAAGACAAGTTGCTTCTCTTCAACTTCCTGCAAAAGGAAAGAAGAAAGAAATTATATAATCTGATAAAGAAAAGTCAGACAATTTGATAGTTGGGACTTAGGAGATTGTGTTTGGATGTTACCATGAGAAGATGATTGAAGAAGAAGCTCCAATGACTAGCTCACTAATTCCATGATCTTGAACCGCTTTAGAGATTGCATCAGCTACATCGTCTGATTCAAGCACCATTATATCCAATTGAACCTTTTCACATTTCACAAGATTCAGATTCCTAACAATAGAAATATGAAACAGCGAATCAAATCAAATCCACTATGACACATACCTCTCTATGAACAAACATGTCTCTGCTTGGAAGAAGCATCTCTCTGGTTTTTCTATCAACATCTTTCTTGTAAACACTTGTGGTGGAATCTTTTCTTGTAATCGAAACAGTATTAGAGTCTCCTGTTTAAACTCAACAAAATCAGATCTAAATTTGACTTTAACAATAAAGACTTTTGTAAAGTCTAGATATATAATATAACTTACTTGGTTGGACATGTAAGAGCTTGAAGACGACATGTTCTCGAGAAGCGAATTCTTGAAGTGCCCATCGAACAACGCCTTTGGTTTTGCTATTGTTCCCTTTAATAGCCACCGCTACGATTAAAGCTCCATCTCCCATCTCTGGATTTTCAACGGTTAAGATCTGATTATCATCATCATTCTTCATCAAGGTTTGTTGAGAGTATAGAGAGGTTTTCGAAGATACCTGCGTATTTTGACTTCAAAGGTTGAAGCTTTTGTTTCCTTAATCTCTCGTCGTGCTTAAAGAGACAAAACAGAGAGAAGAGAGAGTCATGAATTGGTCTGGTTTTTATGTTTAATTAAATGTATAAGTTACAGAGACATTTTCTGGGCAAAACAAAACAAGTTGAATCCTTAATGGATATAATATAATTTAGATAACAAAATACTAAAAACAATTGATAGAGATCTGGTTAGCCAATTCAACGGCTAAGATCAATCATCAGAGTTGAAGATAGATAGAGATACGGATACCTATTGATATTTGACTTCAAAGCTTTTTCCAAAACTTGATTCAACAGCTTCTTGACAAATGGAGAGAGAGAGAATGAGAAGAAGAAGAAGAAGACGAATCAAATTTGAGTCCAGTGAATTTGTCTCTGATTAAATTAATGGAGTTATACGGAAATTTATGCGCAAACCAGTTGAATTCTTTTATGGATATAACCAAAGATTCAAAGAAGTAATGATTAAAAAAAAACGATGGAAAATGTCAAAAAAGTCTAGAAGAGTTTGTGTGAATATGTGATGTCTTTTCCGGTAGTTTCCTTAGGTTTGATGACGTTGAAAGTCAGAACAACTGGGCTTTTGTCGGACTACCAACTTTTTTTTTATTCAATTTTGTTGACTTTTCAATTTGTGGCCTGTTCCCTTATGAACTTAATATAGAGATAGGTTCATTTCTGCCAAAATACAATTTTGATTTTCTTGTTCAACTATATTATCGTGTTTTCTTTTGCGAATCTTTTTGTTTACTTCTTCTAAACGTTTGACTAAATAATTTCAAGACTTGTCAACTCTGAAGATTCTTTTCGATAAGTGGAAGAACTATCGATCGATGTGAAAGCTTCTCTTTTAGACCTCTCTGCATCGGCACCTCCCCGAAACTTTCTGCACCTCGTCAACACAACTCGAAGCTCTATAGACAAGACACACCTTGTGGTATGAACTTAAGCACAAATAGGTCTCAACAAGTAAGGATATGTTCACTGTTTTAACTTTGACATAGTTCATGTCCTCATAGTTCATACTTATACTATTAACTTGTGTATATCTCTTCAAAGTTATGTAATACTAGTATTATGAAACAGAGAAATATTATTAATTTCATTGGATCACAGGTGTACTTTTTAGCATTAATTATTATGTGCATTAAATGGATTGAGTAGCGGACATTTAATGTTGGACAAAATAACCGGTGATAGTTATCTCTGAGATGCGGATGTTATTGAGAAGAAAACACACAGATTATGCGTTTGATAAGTACAGTTTCAACTTTATCATTGATTTATTGGCGTTAACTAGTGGACGTGTTTGACATGACAATAGGTAAGGATTCTTTCTAGATGGATGGTCCAAAATCTATACTTGGACTGAAGCGAGTTTAATTTTTTTTTTTACTGAAATTTGTAGTATGTTTAAACAAGAAAGAAAGTAATAGTAGTACATGATATTGGCTTGTATTAGTGACTTAGTGTTGAAGTCATGTTATAATTTGTATCAAGCTTGTCATATAGAAAATCTTTCCAACATCATCAACCTTTGTTTTTTTTTTGGTTGTTGGAGCAAATATTAACCTTTGTTTTAGTTAAGATAAAGATAAGAAAAATGTAGAATGACAAATCAATTACCGGATTGGATAGGCCCAGAGATTTTTTTTTGGGAGGTTCAAACTAAAGTTAGGGGGTGTTATTCGTTAGTGAAGTTAAAGTCAACTCCATTAGAGTTAAAGTCTATCAGATTTCAAATGTTTTGGGTTCATTGAAAGTGAACCATTATTCATTTTGTCAAATACATGGAAGTGTATTTTCAATGATACGTGATCTCATTTGGTTTTCTATAACAGAACTGAATTCAATAACAAATGATTTTTATAATCTAATCGAAGTCCAACAAAACTTTTGACCATTTTTTTCTTTTCTTATTTCAAGTTATTCATAAAACTTTGGTGATTTCAAATTAAAACTTTAAAAATAAATAAAATAAAAACTATAAAAAACACATAAAAACTATTGGTTTATTCCATACTGGTTTGAATCCATCCTAGCCTCTCTTCCACCGACATGCTCACGAAAACGTCTTGTATTCCCAAATGATAAATCTTGGTAAGTGCCTTGAAACGAATACGTTCATCCAAATCTGAAACTTCTTTTAGAGCATCCCAAACGTTAATTTTTTTTTTGTGCCACTTCTTTTTGTTGTCTCTCTTCTCTTTGTTGTATTATATTCAAAATTTTACTGCTGACAACCATCATAGAACTTTCTTCTTTTTGTGAAGTATTTCTCTCAGATCTTGTTCTTTTACGTGGGGGGAAGCTTCTCTGTAGGACTTTCTGAAGTTCCATGAGACATAAATGGTGCGTAATGCTCTGATGACTCATGATGAGTTGTTGTATCATACTCATACCCGTTGTCAAAATCACTCACATATTCTTCTCTTGAATTCTCCCCAGATTTGTACGTACGTGCATCCGTACTATCACACAATCCAATTGCAGCATCCGTACTATCACACAATCCAATTGCATTTTTCCCAGTAGCAACACCTTCCCCAAATATGATTTGCAACTCTTCAAAAAATTCAAATGTATCATAACGAAGTTGTTTATTGTTCGGATGTGCCTACAAAAACAGAAGGACATATTAATAACATGTAAATACAATTATGTTCACTTTTAAAAAATGAGATACTTACTTTTAGATAATCGTCCCAAACTTCATCAGGAGCGGTAAATCTTTTTGTCGAAGGATCCCAACCAAAACCAGAACTAAAACGCTTAAGATCAAGAGAACTTTGGTATTGTAATTTTAAATACTTCATTCTGCTTTGGTAGTGATTGTAGTTTTTTGAACGACGAAACTCTTTGTTGATTTCTGGTAAAATCTTCGTCTCCACGGTTAATTTACTCATTGTACCATTAGAATCACGCCAATTATTATTGATCCCTTCCACAAGAAGTTGTACCAACAGCTTAGTCTCCTCTGGAGACCACAGATTGTTATTCCCCTTTTTTTTCTTTGGTTCTGCATCTCCCATAGTGATATCTATGGTTACATCAAATTTCAAAACCAAATACAGTATACGTTAAACATGAAAAAGTTAACAATATATTAATGAACAAATAACAATTAGAAATAACCATACGTCAATGCAAAAAGCAAGGTAAAAGTCTGATGGGAAACAAAATTTAACTATTCAAAATTTAATTGATCAATATCACACTTCCAACAGAAACACATAAGAACGTAACAAAAAAAAAACCTTTTTCTGTGGAGTCTAATGAGCTCTTTTGCTTTGAGAGGAGAGACGTACGTGACATTTATAGAGATAGAAAAAAAAAAAAAGAAGTTGAAAGAGTACCTTGGGGAGAAGAAGGAGAGAAGATGTGAAAGGAAAAAAAAAAGAATTTTTGGTTATTCTCATAAATGAGGTTTTATAATTATAAAAATATGATAGTGAAAATCTTGAGTAGAAAGTAGGATTTTGATTGCTATAATTTACACATAAAATCAGTTTCAGATTCCTTCATCTATACTATTAATTGGGAAGCATTCTCTGAAAAATAACCTTAAAAAGTGTAAAAAATTACAAGGGAATGCCATTAGGATAATTACATTCAAAGAGTAATCAAAAGATTACGTGGAAGGGTAAAATGGCAACTTTGCTGTCAATTGACACGCGGATCCTGGGTTACGGGTCGGATCTAAACCCATAGTAATTCGGTAAAACACGCGGATCTTCGTAAGTCATGGGCTTTAGGATTCGTTCAACCCGTATCTGATCCAAATGATATTCGCGGATTTTTATCAATCAATGCTTTGAATGTTTTGCATATATCCTGAAGTTAATGCCAAAACCATATTTGTTAGTTATCATTAAAACCTATTTCTATAACAAACAAATCTCACCAAAAACGATATAAATTATTCTTTTTACCATATCTAACAATAACTATATATTGAGATACTAACAAATCGACCACAAAATACCTTCAATCATGGCAACAAACCTAACTAATCAATTATTTACCTTAAATATTGGTAGAAACAATATTCGCAAAGATATTATTCTGATCTAATTCTATATACCCTAACACATTCGAGCTGCCCTTTTTCCTATAAATATAGATGCCTAATGCCATTGTAGATACACATTTATCTTTCACCACGAAAACTTAGCTGTTTCTACTCCTTAGAACTATGCATTTGAACAGAAATTTTGAGTTAGAGGTAGCAATTATTATTGCATCTTTCTTAATAGTTTTTATTTTATCAAATTATGTTTTACTATAACACCACGTCTTTTTTCTTTGGTGTTTATAGATCCAAGCTGGTTTTAAGGAGAACTTTTTCAATAATGGTGTTACTCAAATCAATTTGGTGATTTGAGTAGAAGAAATGCTATTTTTAAAGGTTTTAGAGATTCAATATTTTGAACTAAGTGCTATGTTATTGTTTTCTTTTTTTGAGAATCTGAATCCTTATATTTTGAGCAACTTAACTTTGTTAAGACAAGTTAATGGTTTTCTTAAGCTATATGAAGTAAACCATTTCACTTATAGTAGTAAAAGTGATTATTTCATACAATTCCATAAATTTTAGTACTTTGCATCTCTTATTTACTACTTTGTTTGAAAAATATTATGGGTAAACACTGTTATTTATATGAACTAACATCAAGTACACTCAATCACATAAGGTAAATATGAAGATGTATTAACTAAGTCTATAAAACTCAATAGATCTACCTTTTGACATATAGTTTTGAGGCTTTGCTCTAATGAATATAGACTCCTCCATATTCTGTTGTTACCCAATTGAAGCTTTATTTGAAAACATTAATTTACCTTTGAAGTTAAATTCTGCAAACAGCTAAATTTTGTTAAGTTAAAGTTATTTTTTTACTAAGTTGAAGTTTTTTTGTTTTTTTTTTTTTTTAAAGACAAACCTATATGAAGTTAACTATTTCGTTTGCAGAAGCATACCAACATTTTTATAACTTTCCATATCTTATTAAGTACTTTAATTGAAACATACTACGGGAAAACACAATTTTCTATATGAACTAACATCAAATACACTCAATAACAGAAAGTAATATGAAATTCTAATAACAAAAGTCTATAAAAGATAATCTCACTAACCTTTCACATATAGATTTGAGGCATTGCTCCAATGAACAAATTTGATAGCCTCCATATTCTTATGTTGCTCCAAGTGAAGCTTTACCTGAAAAAATTTAATTTAGTTTAATACAAGATTCTGCAGATTTGATATAAGCTATTGTTTCGTATAAATCTTATCAATTTGTAGCCTTTGTTTATCTTCATCTAACGTGAACATCATTAAACAAAATTGTAAATTGAAATCTATATGGAAACTAAATTAACTCTAACTCTTTCCAAAAAATACAATATATTGATACGATTAGCAAGGCGTACAAAAAAACGCTCGGTGCACTGGTAATTAAAGTTTTTTTTTCTACTCTATCAAACCAGTTAAAACTAGATCTTATCAAATTCGTATTCTCCGATAAATTATAGTGAAAACATAATGATGAAAATTCAATTGACAATAATTACCCATAGAAAATCCGGCTTCCTGATGTTGCTTCGCCAAGAACACTACGCAAACAAAAAATTACTCAGATTTGGATTTCAATCTCCATATAAAAAATGGTTTAAAGTATAAATCAGATTCACTAATAAGCTTACCTCTTCAAAGAATTCACAATTTACAAAACGGAGAAGAAATAGAGAATTACATGAGATTTCGTAAATTAGACTTAGATCGATCGAGTATGAAAATTTTGATCGGTGGGTGTTTTTTTTTTTTTTGATGAGACAACGACTGTTCTGACTTCTGAAATGAAAAACTGTCCAAATTGTTTTTTTTTTTTTTTATGTTCAGTCGGTTTATGTAAACTGAAACATTAAATGGGTTAAGGAGAAATGTATTATTAACATCATACTCGGCCCAATACAAAATAACTCTCCAACACTAATGGGCCAGAGATTAACAGTTTTTTTTTGTAAAATCATATTTTCATTACAATATATTAAATTATAAAATTTTCTATTTAAATTACCAATTATATAATTTACAAGGTACTAAATTTCATAATCTTTCAAAATTTTAATATTTGAATTATATTCCACAACACACTAATTTATAAACACAAACAAAAATTTATCAAATATTATGACAAGTTTATGAATTATGATATATATTCTATTATATATTTCACTAACACCAAAAATATCATTACAAACTTTAAGCAAAACCATTTACCAAAACTTACAACCAGCACGACGGTGCGGATCAGGATCTAGTATCTTTTCAAATCAAAACATTTGTGAAAATATGTCAAACAACCAATAACATGAAACTTTAATTAATCATTGTAAATATGATAACCAATAACACTAGATTTCAAACTCTTTTAATATAGATATTAGAAATATGAGAACCAATAACACTTGATTTTAAACTCTTTTAATATAGACATTAGAAATCTGAGAACCAATAACACTTGATTTGAAATATGTATTTACAATCTGAGAACCAATAACATTAGATTTGAGTTAGAGTTAAACTCTATTAATATCCACTAACGAATAACACCCCCTTACATTTTTACCATCAGAGAGTAGAAGAAACACGAGACATATTTCCAAAACACAATAAGCTTAAATCAAAAGACACTTTCCTCTCTCTCTTTTTCTCTAATGTTGTATTATTGTAATTTTGCATCTCATCACACAAGAGACAAATCCTCGGAACAGAGACAAAGGAGGCACAGAGACAAACACACCAATAAAAGATTTTGTGGAATCTGTTTCTCTCTACTGTTTATTAGATTTCCACTCCATGATTGCTGAGTAAAGAGTGTAATTAGCAAGAAGGTTCTTGTTAGGCAATGGAAGGTTCGTCACTGGTGAAGTATCATTCTCTCTCAGCCATTCCTCTATAGCTTCCCGATCGTACGTATACCCATCCGCAGCCACGCACGGCTCGTTCATCACTCCCTGTGATCAGCTCCAAAACAAATTAGGTCACAATCGAGAAGGAAAATGATTTCTTGTATGACAAGTAACTAATCATGGATTTAGGGCTTATTTGAACCTTTACGAGTGGGCAAATGAAATGAGATGGAGGACCAGATGGAGTTCTCGAGAGCGAGTTTTGAGCTTTGTCGGCAACTTTCTTGAGCCGTTCCAAAGCCGGGATGATTTGATCTTTAAGATCCGGTCTGTCTCTGCGTCTCATTTCCGTGCAACACAATCCCAAAGCGGCTAACTCACGGGTCTCACTGATGGGCCAAGACCCAGCTTTCTTATCCAAGATTGCCATAAATTCAGCATCGTCTCCGATCGCTTCTTCCATCATATGAGTAATCGCTATCGCGGGTTTCGCTGTTAATAGCTGCAGAATCACAATTCCGAGGGAGTACACATCTGATTTAGGTGAGATAATCCCGGTACGCTGATACTCAGGGTCGATGTAACAGAGCGTGCCCACGGGACTGGTTTTCTTGAAGATGGTTAGATTGGATGAATCATCGTCTTGGTTAACCATTGTTGACAGACCAACGTCTCCAAGTTTGCTGACGAAGTTGTGGTCAAGCAAGATGTTTCCTGGTTTGAGATCACGGTGAATGATGGGTCTAGGTTTGGATTTGTGGAGGAATACAAGCGCTGAAGCGACTTCTAATGCAATCCTGAAACGATCGAACCAAGGGATCGGTGGTGTGTTGTTGACTAGCATCAACCGGTCATCTAAGCTTCCGTTGTCCATGTACTCGTAGACAAGGCAGCCTCGTTCGGGACATGCCCCAAGGAGGAGGACTAGGTGAGGATGTCGGATTTTGCTCAAGATCTCAAGCTGTCAAAACAGAAATACAAAACATTTAGACTCTGATTACTAATCAGAGAGTTAATCCGAAACCGCTCTTTATATGAGGATAATACGATTTTTGGTATGGTTTTCCAACCTCTTGATCAAACTGTTTAGAGAGCTGAGTTTCTCCTGCGTGAAGGACCTTGACAGCACCAGTCGTGTGATGAAGATTACATTTGTAGACGGTTCCATAGGCTCCGATTCCAATCTTGAGATTTTCCGCGAAGTCAGAAAGTCGCGGCTGTGATTTCCTCCCAGGTATAATGTTGGTATTGGATCCCGGGAGAGACGAGAGAAGCCTGAGCTTATCTTTCTCTCTAGC